CTATGAAAATACCTAATGACTCCTTTTGGATGAGTTAATTAGGAAATTCGTAAACAAGGCTGTATATGAGGCTATACAGTTACCTAAACAAGTGCATTTATCAAAAAGAGAAGATATATCAGGTTAAAATGGAGAGTTAGAATAAGTAAGACAGGCATAATCTGGTATTACCTTGACGCCTATAGCTGGCAACTGGAGTAGGGCCGCTTTTAGACATTGGGTGTCCAAAAGGAGTTGCTCAGCTCCAAAAGTGTTGACTGGCTTGCAACGGTATAAAGAAACTACAAATCGGCTGATCAAAGCGTGTGCGAACTTGGTACAGATCTGGGTAAAGTGTACTCTACAAGAAATATATTTTTAATGGAATAAATATTAGAATAAGCTAAGTAAATTTTGTATTTATCTTCGGCAAGTAACCCTGCTTAAAGTAAAAAGAGTCTAGCATCACTTTGGAAAAAAACGGTTCAGCATGTCAACACTGTAGTCTCTTTTATTTTGTATGAATATGTCTCAAAACCATCAGTAATTCTTGAATACGGACCTTGTCAACCTAGTGCAGTTTTCTCACAGTGATGTGAGTGGGCCTGGTGATTAAATCGCCTCTTACAAAGTTTTCTAATATTAAATGGACCTTGCCTCAGTCTCATCAGCACTCACAACGGGATTCAAAATCGAGTCGTGCGATTCGTGGCGACACATTGCTACTCCAATCTACAACTAAGGGAGCTAGTGCATCATAGGGCAGATAGAAATTTCAATGCGAGTCAGGCCCCGCCAAAATAACATTTTTATATCGTGAATTTCGATGAGGCAAGCATCTATTTACAAATATGTCCTGTTTAAGAAAATGACAAGAGAATGTCAACATAAATAATACATTCTTGACAAAATTTCCTAGGTAAGTATTTTTTAATCGAAAAATAAGTTTATAAAGTTCAATAATATGAGCTTAATTAAAGGTTTACCTCACAGAGAAGAGAATGTCACGGAAGAATGGAATGTGACTTCGTAGATGGGCGATAATCTGAGTGACATAAGCACTTTGATCGCCAACTTGATTTAAACTGTTCCAAGAAACCTTGGTCATGGCCACCAGTTGGGGTTGAATACCAGCTTGGAGGCCAGCCACAAGTCGATGTACGCAAGCTGAACGACATGAAGCCAATGCGTCGATTTCGGAAGAAAATGTAATCTCATTAGCCAGTGTGTCGGGTCGAACCTTTTAAGGAAATATATATTGAAGGGAATTGTAACAACTCGAGTAAAACAAATAGGAATTGATGAAAGCACGCGAAATTGGTAAAATAAAAAGATCCTAATGAATAAAAACTTGCCGCTTAGCGGCAAAAAATGGATTCAATTTTGACTGTCGTAGAAGTCTTACTACATGGATAAAATTAAATGTAATCAGGTTGATGAACTATTCTTATTCCTAGTGCTGGTTCGACCTTGTTTTCCCAACTTGGTCGGAACGTCAGGGAGACCTTGTGGAACTCACCTAGCCCTGTGTCCTATGACATAGTATTCGTAATTTCAAGCTTCAGGCCATTGACTTGGTACATTCCAAAACGTTTCGCCTACATCATCAGTGAGAGGCGCCATCGTAAGCACAGTTACAACTTATCAAAAACGACAAGTGAAGGCAATCCTCTTGACCAAGTTTCTGTTCACCCGCTGTGGCATTATTCCTCACCCCTATTTTTTGTTTTACCTCTTAGTGCCGCATCTCTTTCTCTTAATTCCACTTATATGGCACATCCATTTATTCACACAATTCTGTGCTCTCGTTTCCTCCGATTTCGCATAAGAGTGTGTCGCTACAAGTGGGTTTAGCGAAGCGTAGTCATCTCCACCATCGCTACCAAATGCCGTTTGCAGGGCTCATGATCTACATTCTGCCCCTCCCCCTTTTTTCATACCCGCTTGTCAATTAGCCGCTGCCGAACATCAAAATCACTGTAGGAAAACTTGATTTCCAAGAATCCCTCAAAAGATTGATGTTGGAGTACCTTTTATTTCGTTTGAAAAGGCGAGTGAAAGGGATTCGTAAGTAGGTTTAACCATGGACTGTGGGGGGGGTTGCTTTGGAGCTGTGGAACGAAAAGTACCAGCGAGCAAGGGAAGGAGGCTTTATTAGGCTGGAATCTGGTTTTGACTCTCCCATCATACTTATTTCAAGAGCAATGCACTCACACAACACGGGCACAATGGGACGCAATCAAAGATGGTGAGCCGAAAACCTATACGCACAAATCTACAACCACAGCTCCAAGTCAATCCCCCACAACCTCCGTTGGAATACGATTAGCCTCTTGAAACGAAATTAAAGGTACTCCAGCATCAAAATCACTGTTTGGCTGTCTGAAATTCGGCTACCTAAGTGTCCCCGACCAAGTTATGAAAACAAGGTCGAACCAACACAATAAAGCTGCGACCAAACAGGTCACACCATCTTGGTCTTCATATCTATGATCCCTATTCACACTTCATAGCCTTACTTCAACAAAAGATGAACATCAATTTTTTAAACAATCAGTGCGTAATCGAATATGATTAATCATGATATAATGGTATTTATTAGAGTAGCAGATATATTATTGTCGAGCTACAGAAACAGGCAGGTCAGACTGATACCCATTTTGGCTCCACAGCTCATAACTAGCACTCAAAGCCTAAAACTACCTAATAAACGGATAAAGGAGCCTTATTTTAACGATAATTCAATTATGGAGATCATAATTATGAAGGCAAAGATGATGTAGCCTTTGGTTTGGTCACAGTCTCCTTTAGCTTAAGTGTTGGTTTGACCTCGGTTTGATAAAATATGAAGAACTGGGCTATAGAAGACTAAGTTTTAAGTGGCTGACGAATTTTGAGCATAGGAGAAGAGAAGAACGGACTCCGTAAGGTAAGTAACAAGACATTCATAGGCCTAAACGAATGTGTGTCTACATGCCAACAGCAATAAAATTGGAGAGAATTTAGATCATCATAGCCTAAATAATTATAGAAGACTATGATAATTGTACAGAAGCATAAGTAACATTGAACTATGCATAAAAGTAAAATAGATGGAAGCATTGTCTAACTATTGTACCTCAGCCTTTAAACGTTTTTCAAGATCCTCTGCTGTCTTCAGACAGTAGGACGAGGTTACGAGAATCACACAGACCTTGTACTCTTCATCCTTTGTTAGGCGAGCGGTCTAGAGAAAAAAAGATGAGAGGAGTTAAATGAAAACTAGATGTGCAGTAGGTAATTATAATTGAGGTATCTTTAGGCGAGGAAGACCTGATAAGTGAGCTTCCCAAGTTGAAGTATAAATTCTCACGATGTCATTAAATTTAATTCAAATTCGCCTATTACATATTTTTCTGTTCCACAGCAACTTTCAGTCTTGACCTAGCGTGTTTTTCATCAGAACACCCAAAGAATTTTGAGAGGCTAGGCTTAAAAAAATGAGAAAATAATCGCCCTGGGTCTAGTAATAAGGTTGTCCCCACAATTATGTAATTTGGCTTCAGGAGTATGTGCTGCTGATGAATGCTAAGTGAGGTAGAAATAATAGTCCACCTTGGATTAGATAACTAGAAGCAAAGCTAAATGACAGTAAATTGCATCGTGAGGCCAATTTACATCAATATGGTAAAAACCCCAAACACAAAGCACGAGGCTTAAACGCACAATATAGTGTTACAATGGTAACGCCTTGGAACGAGCAATAACAATAAGTAAAGTTGCATTATAACCACTCGGCAATCAATTTTGACCACAAAAGAGATATATGGTATATGAGTTGTGTCTCGAAAACATATTGAATAACGACAAAAGATATCTGATAGTCTGTATATGACTTTAAAATGAGAATTGCTCCCCAGACTCAAAACTCATTAAGAGAAACTCTTGGAAAGCCAAGTAAGCTTCGACAAAGTTAGCCTCTCCAAAAAGAATAATCAGGATTTGATCGTTTATTTTTATTAAAGAAATGGATTTAAAGCTTGATCGATATAAGTTGAACTTAAAATGATTGAGATATGTTGATATGCGGGTCGTTTGCGAAGCTCTGTAGTGAACAAAAATGGCAAGCATTAAGTAAATGTCTTCAAAGGTGCAGAACCGTATGGCCCTTCGCAGCCACCAGCTTCCCAACACAGTATAAAGTTGGTAAATCCTAGAAAACTTACTTGCTGCTCGCCCTGTAGAAAGGTGGAAAAAAATTGATTCGGAGCAAGGGAACCAACAGCTGATAGAAGGTTTGACTCGGAATTGGAATCCCTGCTGAGTCCTAAAAAGGTAATACGGGTTAGTAGGAATAAAAATAGGTATAAGAACAGATAAAGTGGAAAAATCATCTAAGAACTTGAGGTGATCATTTGCCTTAGATGAAACTATCAAGCAGACAGCAGAAAATAAACTCTAAAGACGCTCTAAATCGTAAGACAGCAGTCGTGCCCAGCCGATAACAATCTAAAGATTCCACCAAATTAGGTTAGTCGCTCACACATACTGGCTTTCTTCACCATCTTATATGGGTTATAATTTTTAGGTATGTAAACCACATAATAGCAGATATAAAGTAATATAAAAAATGTGACAATTAGATATTAATTCTAGACACAGGCTATTCACTAATAAGTTCAAGCAAAAACAGCTAACGAATCAGTTTATTCGAAATATAAAGCAAATTCCTCAAAAATGTAGATATTGCAGATACTCTAGCAGAAGCCTTGTCTGAAAACATCATTATCTACACATTTACCAAGAGTAGCCAGATTCGCCAAACTGAAAGGATTTGATGTCACCCCTAAGGACGTTGTGGTCGCTGTGGTCACGCAACCACCGCAAGTGGCTCCGGTAGTTGTCACAGACGAAGAAGAAGATAACTGAGTAGTAGAGGTGGCCCCGTCTGCAGATGCGGCCGTAGCACCTGAGCCAATACCAGTTGAAGCGCCAGATCCAGACGTAGTGAGGGGAGCACCTTCAGTCCCCGTAGAACTGCGACAACCGGCTGGCAGTCCGGGAATCTGGGCCAGCAAGACGCGATCATTGTACTCAATAAGGTAGCGGCGAAGAAGACGCACAAGACCAACGAAGCCAGGGCCACGGGTTAACTGTAGAGTTTGTAAAATCAATTGTTTATAAAGCAGAAAGAGATCGGTCGCTGAAAAAAGTGTGTTTTCGCCATGATCACCGGACCCAGAATTTGAGAGTGTCTTGTCGTCGCCTTGATAAAAAAAGAAATGAAATGAAATATATAAAATCCAAGCCGCTCTCAGCAACCAAATAATAACCGCCATGAATATCACATAAGCAATAAGCCATACAAAATAGGGCGATTTCGTGTCTCCATTTTAATCTAAGAGCCGGTATCAAATTTAAGTTTAATTATGGAGGCATAAAAATGTAAATAAGATTAAATTTCGCCCAGATTTTAAAAAAATAATGAAAAAATAACAAAATATAGACGTTAATATATATAGGGCAGAGACAAGCTAATAAATGAAATCGATCTAGGAAAACACATTTTCTTAGTCGATAGGTAATTTAATTTTTAGTGGCTTCTTAAAATTGTAGGTTTGATTTGGAGGAAAAATAATATTTTAGTTATTTAAATTGATTAATTTTTATTATGCTAATAAACAAACAAATAAATAAATCTCAGCAACTTTGTGATGTTATAATAAAAATTCTTCTATGGATTATCCACTAAATTTGTCCGAATTTCGGCAGTGTAGCAGAGAAATTAAAGCCTAGGCGCTACAGAAACCAAAATATAACTGCTTTGAGATCCCAATCAATGAGTTACTTTAAATTGCAA